CCCCCCCCCCCCCCCCCCACAACGTAAAGAGATCTGAGTACAGCAAGTTAAACATGATTGTAGGGCCCTCCCAGGCTTTCTTGGTGCGTCGGCTCTCGGAGTCCTCTCCGAGGCATCGGCACAACGACTGACAGTATCCTAAAAGCATGCAAGTACACACTGATGCCCCTGCATGTTTAGTTGCCCCATGTTGCTCCGATCTTGCTTGGCAGCAGGCAAGCATGAGGCTCCCCGACTAACAAACCAACGCAACAAGCACAGCTTCTTAGCCGTCGTGGTCGGTAACAAAGGGCATCAGGCAGCGAAGGCGGCGAGTCAGATGAGGTACCCCTTTGCCAACATCCAGCGCTCGTTGGATTTCCCACTCAGCATCGCGGGGAGTGCTCCGGCTCTCTGATGGGCAGGAGCTCTTCTTGGATCTGCCGTTTCCTCATCCCCCGGATCTGGGGCCTGCACCGCAGTTCCGCCCCGGTCCGCCTGGAAGCATGGCAGTGGATGTGTCATGCGCGGGCCCACCAAGGGTCTCCACGCACTCTGCACCCTCCGATGTGGTGGGCCATGTGCCCAGCCGTCAGCGCTGCAAGGACTATATCCCACAGGTCAGGTCTCATGGCCGCACCCGAGTCGATGTCTCTGTGGTGAAAGGGACGGTGTCCTTTGAACTGCAGAGAAGCTGTGCTGCTCCCCTGGCTGCTGCCAACCTCGTGTGTGGCTGCACTTCTCCCAATTCCTGCAAACCAGCCAAAGCCCAGATCCTTCAGCAGTCCTGAGTAAGCCTGATCACCCCTCTCGTCCAGCCCATGTAGTGCTGTGACCCCTGTCTCACGGGGCTGTTGGATCAGCTCTTTTCCTCCCGCATGGTGATGTGCCTTCCTCCTTCCACGAATGTCCCAAATTCCAGCACTGCCTGCAACTCTTCCACGAGATGCGGTTGCGCCTCCTCCGCAGGTAGCTGCTGCAGGTGGTGCTCTGCACCACCGATGTCTCGAGGCGCGGTGCTTCTGCCCCGTATGTTCTGCGTGAAGTTTACCTGCTCTTCATCATTGTGCCTACAGCTCGGTCCGGAGCTCGGTGTGGGTGCTGGGAGGTCTCCCCGGGCCAAGAGGCCCACCCACGCTCATGGGCTCCATAGGGGAGTCGTGAAACCAGATCTCGAGTCTTACGAGGCAAAGACCACGCTAAATGCAGTTTCACGCATCTTGTTGCCCCGGGCTCTACATTTTTGAAGCTTGCAAATCAGCAGCTTTTTTGGTATGAACGTCTATACTCCACATGATACAGACAGAGTTCCTACGCGATGAGTACAGCATACAGGACACCTACCGATGAAGTGATAAATACATCTTGGAACTGCTTGCTTGCTAACGAGTAAAGGCGCCATGCGCCCTCCCCCGTAGGGGCTCGTGACGTCCTGCGTCCAGCGCACATCTTGGAACTGCTCTCTCTCTGTCTCTCTCTCTCCTGGGCATGAGGCTCTCTCTCTCTCTCTCTCTGTTTTCTTGACTTTTCTTCAGCCACAGCAGCCACTTCGCGTTGTTGTCTACGCCCCAGATTGGCAGGATGAGGGTCACTACTCACTACTCTGTGACACCAGAAAGCCTTCCAACCTGTCAAAATGAGAAACAAAAACCGTCGTCACCAGCTTTAGCCCTCTCCACTGCGAGCCTGCATCCCAGAATCGGCGGCATCAAACTGAGTGACGGGCCGCCCCAGGACTTTCACTACTCCGGCTTTCGTCTGCGCCTGGGTATCGACACCCACAATATGCCAGGCCAAATGTTCGCTTGGTCTGCGTGCTTTGGCTGGGAAGATAACTGGTACCGTGGTACGAGCACACCAAACCCTTTTTGCATCCGGGCTTGGGAAGTCGGTCCGGGAAGGTCAGATTTCTCCCAAGATGTTTCATGAGAGTGAAAAGGCTTCACAAAGGAAAATGCCCAAACCCTAAACCCTCAACCCCAAACCGGAAGCGGGGGGGGAGCTTGGCTTAGGAAGGGGGAGGGTGGGGGGGCTGAGAAGACAAGGGGACAGGCACACCATCCAATCTTAGCAATTTCCGCCGGGCTGGCACTGGGCACAAGTGGAATTGCCTGAGGAAGTAGCACTGTGACAAGTTCAAAAGCCAAGATCAAAGGCTAAACTTCCCGAATCCTGTTACAGCTCGGACGGAGCCCCCAAGCCTCCATCCGACCCGTCTGGGGACCTGTGTCTGAATGAAACTAATAAAATGGGCAGCACTGCCGTGGATGGTCGAAGCTGGAAACGCGGTACCGACCGAACTACCACAGTGCATCTGTACGCGACGGTGTGTAAAATGTTGGTTTCGGCAGGGTTTGCTGGCCGGCCAGGCCAGCCGTCCAGGCACACCACATCTCCACTCACTCCACTCCTGGGCGCAATGCCTTGCTCTTCGGCTAACTTCCACAGCCACTCCGCACCTCACAAGCTTTGCCATCTGACACTCGAGCGCTGCTTTAGAGGCTCCAATTTGATGCCTATCAGACCTGGACCTGAACTCATGATGAGAGCTCGCACCAAGTTCGAATTGCAAGATGCTCAGGACCGAAGACTTATGCACATTTCACAAGCAAGCGCAAATCGCTTTCGTCTAAGCTTGCGCACGTGCGAGCCCACCTTCTACAAAGCAAATAACCAACAGTACCCCACACCGCAACATAAGCGCGCTGACTCGAAATGCCATAGCAAGCCGTGCCAGGTTTGCAAACCGCCTCTGCGTGATAACGCCCACTTAGCGCTCAAGGCCTAGTTATAGATCCTGAGATCTGCAGGCAGACCCACCATCCTTCTGAGGCTGCTGGCATCGATGTGCGCGATCAGTTGCCGCTGCGGGCTGCTCTACACCTCTTCACATCCAGTGCTGAAGAACCGTTGCGATGCTTCGAGTTTGCATTTGGAGTAGTCTTTTCGAGCCTCAACCTGCAAACTTGGAACCTGCAGCTTACTAACTCTGCCCACCTCCGGGCCACCAGCCCTGCTCAGGGACGCTCTCCGTCACTTTGAGTGAGGGAAGAACTTCACCTGCGAGAGTTGTGAGAGTCAGCCGCTCGATGGACGCACGAAAATTCATTGACAATTATACTGCAAGAGCTGCGTGCCAAGGTGGCCCAAAAGTGTCGGGATTTGTTCATTCCAATGCCGCGACGTGTGGTAAGGCCCCGACGCATTCGCTGCGCATTGAGACCATGGTGCCTGCACCGCCATCTACTTCTTGCACTGACGGTGTCAAGCTCTGGCTGATCTAACTAGTTTACCTACTGTACTTCGCTCGCATAGATGCAGCGCGAGTGGTGCCGGACCCAGATCCCTGCATTGAGGCCACAGCATCGGATAGGACTCTCGCCGAACTCCTCTCCTTGGTCCCTCGAAGACGCCCCCTTCCTGACGGGGAGGCACGGGGAGAGTGACAAGATGTCTGAAGTCACCCAAGATGACTTGACACGGCGGTCGTTAACAGAAGTCAAGGACTCAAGGAGTGGGAACCGGCAGGCCCGGCAGGTTGCAGCCTCGTGGAGATCCGAGTGTAGTTCTGGGGGCGTCTGCAAACTCTCCGCTATCGGATAGCACGTCCTTAGACCGGGCAGGGTCAGGCAGCATGGAGGATGCCGCATGAATTGGCACGGCACGTCTTCCAGCCCGAATGCAGAGTAATGTATTCTCGGGATCCTGTGCACCGGATCATGGTGACTCTGACCCGCCGGTGAAACCCCTCCTCGCATTTCAAACCTTGAGCTTCCAGCAGTCTAGTCGGCAAAAGCAGTATGTGTCTTTGCTCGCATCAAGCATCTGGCTGGGCAACGCCACAGTGAATGCTAGAAGGTACGATGTAAGCGGCACAAGCTTAGAAGAGGAAATAGCAGGAACAACCACGAGGCATGCATGCTAGCGAAAGCTTCTCTCATCGAAGCAATAAATCGATAAAGCCGCGAAGCCTGCAAGGCGAAAGCTCGCGGCACTTCCCAAATCATAAAATCCGACCTCCGACATCTCGATTTTTCAGTCCCCATCCCATATCTGGGATCGCGGCTCAAGGGCTCTGAGAAATCCGGAAGTGAAGAGCAGTCGCGGTTGGAGCCTCGCAGCGGCATGTACAAAGAGCAGGCCAGCAGCTTGCGCGGCATGTAAGTGTAACTAGCGTCCAAGACGGGGAAGCAATGGGAAGCAGCTTTTTCTTGCATTGCTGCTGTTCCTCGGACGAGGATTCACAAACTACTATGTAGCGGGCAAGCTCCCGTTGCGTTGAAGGACAGACTGACGAGATGTCGGGGTGCTGACCGTGCCCACAAGTCTGTTGGTGCAGGTTGACGAAAATAGGAGGTTAGGGTTGCCCGTCTTGCAGCAACGCTGGTGCGTCGAATTAGATTTCTTGCACCGAACTAAGCTCTCTTCGTTCATGAAGTACAGACCTTGCCTAAGCCCGGTCTTCGACGAGGGAGTCTAAGCTATCCATTGCTTCTGTTCTCTTGTCACTGATCTTGAAAGTTGAATAAGCCAGAACTAGCGAAAATGGGGACAAGCGGCCCGCTCCTTTACGCTACCGACTCTGCCAATCCAGTGTATACTAGACTGGACCTAACTCGTGCTCCAGCGATCTCAGCAGCAAGCATGTTTCATAAAAGTTTAGTCCACGTCGGGTGCTGGTAGAATCCACTACGTCGGGGCTAAACCATTTCCAGGCAAGGTCTGTCTTCAGTCTCTACCGTGCAGGAATGCCAGCATCGGGGACACCACTCTGCTGCTCAATGCAACCAATTCTTCACGGCTTAGGAGAGTGTGGTTTAGGTACTGGTCTGTTCAGCTCACCTGTGGATGAGAATCCTTGTGGGACCACGTCCATCAGCCAATGTTAACTCACGGCGAGCATGGGGTCCCTCCGTGGCAAACAGCGGCAGGATCTGATCTGCATATCTAGAACGACTGGGATTTCATCAGAGGCGGCTTGGCAGGATGAAAGAGCGCCACGTAAGAAGGTGGTTGAGGTTAGTGGCTAAGCCTAAAAGAACGCAAAGTGCCTCGCCAAGCGATAGAGGTAGAATCATTAGCATAACTAAGCGTAGCCCTGGTCTCGACGGTTCCGTCACTGACACACTTTTTTGCGCAATCGCCAGAGACTTTCAACGCAGGGAGCATATGTATTTCTGAGACACTACACTGCTCACTTATTTATGAGACATTGAAACACTGCGACGGAAGCCCTGTTCATCCACCCTCGCCACTGACAGCCAAATTCGTAGATCAGTTGTGAGCATTCCTCGGAGTCTTGGTTCCGGCATGTTCTAGCTAAAGTGCTAAAGTTCAGCTCAAGATTAACCTTTGGCACGTTCTTTCCGCTGCAAGCCTCCGCTGACGTCAGCCGGGTAAGAAACACTAGCCGCGCAGTGAAAGCGGAGTTGAGGGCAAAGGGTTCGCGAGATCTCCAAAGCTGTGCGAATCATGTGGGGCATAGTTTAGGCGCTGGCCAACCGGTTTTCGGGGACTGAGCATGCGTGAGATACAATGCTGCTGGAGGCGGTTGAGGCGAACGGGTCTCGCATGCTCTCCCAGTATATCAGAAGATATCAGAAGCACGTGCATGCCCACCAAACAATTTGGATCCGGATGGCGTTTGCAACAACGGCTGAGTTTGGTCGGCCTCCACTTTCACACGACGAGACCCTCTTGCAGGCCGGGTGTCCGATTCTGTGGAGCCTGTCTTGTCGGGCAGGACTGTTGATCGGCTCTGCTTCCCCCTCATCGAAACCCAAGCAATACATCATCAATCGACAACCTAGAGCTGTTCCCAGACCCAAAGTAAAAAGAGGATTCGGTATTTTGCAAGCGCACATGCTGCCAGTACCTGACAGCTGGGTTCGATATGACAATGGCTGAACTCAAGATAGAATGGAATTGGGGCAGAGCGTGTCGGAGACATGTAGCCCACAATTGTCTTAAGCGAAGTGCCTTTGAGCCCCACCTCCAGATAACCATCAGCAGCCAAAGCTTGTCACTCCCTCAATGCCACACAAACGCCGAAGCCCTGATCCTTACACTCAGTCACGTAGTACCTAGCCCAGGCCCTCAAATGCTTTGCGGGGCCTAGTGCCCAGGACCCAGCTCCAAGAGGTCCACCTTTTAGCGGAAGCCGCAGTGTTGAGAGCACCGCCACTATAAAATTGGACGGAAAGGAATGGCTGTCTTAAAAAAGACACGGCTCAGCTTGACCCTAGGAAAGAAGCTTGAAGGAGCCAAGCTGCATTGCACACAGTGGCAACAGTGCCACCTTTTCGGCTTCGGTCAAGATTCCCGCATAACAATAAGCGCAGAACAATAGAAGATAATAGAAGCCATTCTAGCGATTGGGGTCTGGGATGAGCCCTGAGTCTAATCCTGGCCACGCGCCTCGAAGACACAGCGAACCCGGTTCCAATGTGGGGTTTTAGCTTTCTCTTGTTGCTTCCTTGCCCTGTCGTTTTGAGTTTGCGGCACCGGAAAGCCGCGCCTCCACGTGAACTGGGAACGTGTCGGCGTCACGCTCGACCTTCCTGGGCTATTGGACTTTCAAGTCCTTCCAAATCTTCATAGGCGGGATGTGGGATGTCCTGTCTTGGAGCAGCCACACTCGACCCTGACAAGAACATTGCCGCGATGCATAAGGATACATTGAAATACCTGTGCAAAACGTTCCCGGAAGCCACAGTACGTCTTGCGAGCCTCTACGTTCCCACCCTGATAGCTGCTCTCAATAGAGCGCCATTACATTTCCAAGTCTGTATCTGCAGCTTCGAAACGAGCCTGGAGCCAAGACGAAAGGTAGAGGGGAATGTAACGGAATCTGTAAGCAGAGTTCTGCATGTCTGGCCTCCCCCTTAGTTTCACCTTTGTCACTTGGGCCTCTGTGTAATCCTGTACAACTCCTCAACCTCGAAGCACGCCGAACCCTCGGAGCACTGAAACCGCCACGTCACGCCGGTGAGGGGCAGTAGTCTCGACTCATAACACAGCCAGGGCGCTTCAGGAAGTCTGTGAGCGGCTTCCTTGTAAGCGGGAACTGTGACATGCTCAGCTCAGTGTCAGCGGGGATTCTGGGACGGCGTTCGCGGCTAACACGCCGGCATTGGAAAGTTTCAAACACGCGGGTGGATGCTTGTAAGTTGCTGCTTTGATCTGCTTTGTCTCCGCAAGGCCAGATGGTATTTCAGGCTTGGCCTGGGAAGAACATGCCTGTCGTCTCGAAGGTTCCAGTCCTCCGTCAATGCAGTTTTCTTCGCCACTCCCAGCCGCGATCGCAAAACGAAGCATCCGTCCACGAGTCACTAGTTTCACATTTGTTGTTGGGGAGTCTGCCGCCGCTGATGTACTGAAGCATCAGTGGCCACAGCGAGTCAGAATTATCAGTGTGAGCGTGGTCTGAATACAGGCAGCCACTAACTCTCGCACTCGAAACTGCACTGGCCCCAAACAGACAGTGCTACTAGCACCAACAAAGTGTGAGATCGAACGCTCGCATACTGCAGCGCAAGTCTGCTTCCGATGTGCAGCTGAGGTTCACAAAAGATGCCTGGCACTTTGGGGTCGGGAAGGTGGGGCCTTGTGGCATGTCTTGATATGTCTTACGACTTGTCTTATGCATCAGCGGTGGCTAGTAAACCCTGCCAACTCCGACGACCAGGCTGCCTTTAAAGAGTGCTCCGCCACGAACCGCTCTGCGGCATCCTTACCTTGGCATTTGAGTTTCGGGAATCGGATGGTGAACGTTGGCAGTGGCCGAGCACCTGTATACCTGCCGAGAGTTGGAAGAACGGAATAGGGCGGGGCATGCCGCCAAGCCGCATCTGTCAGAGGCCCGCACCTAAGGAGAACAGGGCTTTGCAGAGTCTGCATGGCCTTGAGCCTTGCAATGCCTTGCAATGCCTTGCATGGCCTTGCCCACTGTAGGCTCCAGAAGATTCGAAAACCCAAAGCTCTGAGAGTTGCCAGGTCAAGCCACGTGGAGCGGCTGAACACTTCCGTCCCCGATCTTGACCTCGGAAAAGGTGCTTGCATGTGGAGATGGGAATTCAGCGAGCCCGAAAGCTGAATGCAAGACTCCCGCAAATAGTAATAGTCTCTACCAAGACCATATAGTATAGTGCCTAGTATAGTGCCTGTAGGAGGTGAGGAGATACCATGAGTTTAGAAAAGGTCGTCAATAATGCAAAGCACCACTAACATCTACTAACAACTTCGCTTCCTTCAACAGACTGGAAGGAGAGCGGGCAGCTCACCTGGGCCTGTACGAGGATCGTCTCCTTCGCTTGGCAAACACCCGCAACCACTCACCCCTCTCGCGCGCACACGCGAATGATTGCATCCTGACAGCTTGGACTTGCTCCCATTCAGGCAGATACAGTACTCGAGAGCCAAATGACGAAGCGCGGTGCACAAACAGAAGCGGGAAGCGCAGTGCAGTTCATGCTGCAACACCGCTCTCACCCTGCAGCACAGCTCAGTGGCTCCAAATGGCTTCAAGAGGGGCAGTTTGAAGCCCCGTAAGTCAAGTCAGTGCAGTGCGCCATGACTTCTGCGGAGATTAGTTTTTGGAGGCTGCCTGTGCCAAGTACCTGTAAACACTCGCAGCAAGAATCTGTGACTCGAGTACGAGGTGTCGGGGTGCACATCTGGACGTGCAGCAAAGCGCTCCGCTCTGGTATAACCCTTATAATACGAAGCCGAAACATCCGAAAACGCTCGTCTTGGCTCCTGCCGGTCCGCTGCCGGACTTTTGGCAGTGGGGCTGGGATCGGCCTGGCACATGCAGCACTGAGCGAGGCTTGGGAGTTTGTGGTTTCGGAGAAACACAGCTATCTGGGGTGGATGAGGCGTTACATGAACTGAGGTGTCGTTGTTGTCTGTGTGTCCTCTGCGCATGACATGGGCCCTGAAGCTGCGTCCGGCTATCCCAAACAGCCGTCGGCGGATAAGATGCTTGCCCACTGGCAGTTCGGAACCAAGCACGGACTTGCGCTGCAGACCAAAAAAAAAGGTGTCAGCATCGCACAGTAGGGTTTGTTCTCCAGGGAATTGGTCAATCTTGAAACCTTCCTTATCCTTTCTTGC